TTGCCAAAGACTTTCGATACATCTACAGTCTATGATACCTCCTCCCAGCTCTGATGGAGCTACCAGGCCAAGAGCTCGACTGCTAATGGTGCGGCCGGTGGTTCCAGCCCACACCCGAGCTCAGGCTGGGTGCAGGATGCCACGTGAGCATGTGGCTCGAGTTCTCTCCGTTATGCAAGGAACATGACCTCCTTTCTGTGTGTGGAGGTGCACGGCCCCACCCAAGAGCACTTCACTGAGAGCCACCCCTCTGCACACATCCCCTGGTGGATAGCTAACGGGTTAGGCTTTCTTCTGAATTTTAAACCTCCATCACCACACTCCACAAACACGAGTGGGAGGGGAGGGGACAAGACCCAGTGGAAATCCCCTTCCACCTCTCTGTCAGTCATGGCTGGAAGAGTGTAGTTGCTTCCACTCTGGGGCCGATGCTGACCCAGACTCATTCTCAACAGCGCTGAGGGTGCGCGGTCCAGGGCAGACCCTGGTCTCCAGCCTTCCTGCGGCTCTCAGCATGCCTTAGCTCTGGGGTCCTGTGCTCTATCTCCAGCACGTGTCTCTCCCCCCTGACCTTCCTTCTGCCCTGTCTCCAGTCACCTCCTGCTGCCCCGTCTTCAAGGGCCCTTGGGACCCTGTCAGCCCGCCGGAGAAGCCGGGGTCCAGCTCGGAAGTCATTAGTTAATCACACCTGCAAGTTCTCTCCACCAGGTAAGGCAGGTGCTCACCAACTCCAGCAATGAAGGCGCAAACATCTCTCGGGGGTGGCAGAGTGCGGTTCAGCCTACCATGACAAACAGTGACTAGAGCTTAAAAACTTCTTAAAGGGTGGGGAGCTGCTTTCTCACGTTCTATTTCATTTCCTGGTGGTGCAGGAGGTTAGGTGTTGGGGTTTTTCCCCCGAGGTCGGGGTGGGGGTGGGGAGGGGTGTTTCCAGTTGGGCTGCCTGCGCCCGTCAGGGTTTTCAGCCCCAGAGACCCTTGCAGAGCAGCCCTGCCCTGCCAACGGCTCCACTGCTGCAATCGGCCTGCTGGCGCAGAGGCCTGTGGTGGGAAGATCAGAGACCATGGCAGTGGGAGCTCACCCTGACTGTGCCTGTTTGTCCTGTCAATTCCAGGGCTCATGGCCCAGGGTAGCTGCTGGTCCTTCCTGTGTGCGGTTCGTAAACTGGAAATGGCTGTCCAAGGCTGGTGGGGCGGCACACAGCACTGCGCCTGAAAGCGAGCCTGCACATCTCTGCCGGAGCCGACAGCCTCCTGCCTCAGTCTCCCCGGGGGTCTGCAGCCCAATGCTTTCCACACAGCGCCACCAGGGTTCCCCCTGTCAGCATCCCATGAACCGCTGCTACTGCTATTACTGGGGGGGCACCGGACAGGCCGCGGGGAATTACCCTGAGCTGTGTCCGTCAACTCCTGGCGACTCTGTGCTGACCCTGTGGTCAGCAGCTGAGCCGAGTCTCTGACTACCAGCGCTCCTCAGGAGCCAGCAGGACTCCCATTCAAACGACCTCCATGTGCACCCGTTTCCCAGGCAGTCAACCTTCCCAGGAGCAGCAGCCTCAGTTTGAACTGCCGACCTTGCAATTAGCACTTCAATGCTTGAGACTTAAAAGGAGAAGACAGCTCCAGAACCCCAGAGGTAACTCTACCCTGTGGGCACCAACTGGAGGGAGGGCACAGTGAGTGAGTGCTGCCCTGAAGGGAGGAGCCTGTGTCTGCAACACCTCACAGAGTCAGCAGGGAGGGAGTCCACACAGCACCAAGCATACCCCTCCTGGGGTGCTACCAGGGAAGCACTTGGCCTGTAAACACCAGGGTCTGTCGTTCAAACCCACCAGCCACCCCAGAGAGAGAAAGATGAGGCTGTGTGCTCCCATAAAGATTTATAACCTAGGAAACCCTATCTAGGGCCCCTAAGAGTCGAAAGTGATACAAAGGCAACAGGCTTGGTTTCTCAAGAGAAAGATGAGACTGTCTGAGCCCCTAATGATTTACAGCCTCCCAAACCCTGAACAGTTCACTGTAAGTCAGAACCAACTCTGTGGCAGTAGGCTCATCTCGGGTACTCAGGTGGCATGGTGCCTGCCTTAAGTTATAGACTGCTTACCACAAGGTTGGCGGTTCAAACCCACCAGATGTTCCTGTAGAGATGAACTGCCGTGGGAACCTCTATGGGGGCAGCTCTGCTTTGTCCTAGAGCAGCAGTTCTCAACCTGTGGGTCATGACCTCTTTGGGAGTCAAACAACCCTTTCACATGGGTCGCGCCATTCATACCAGTAGCAAAATTTCAGTGATGAAGTAGCAACGAAAATAATTTTATGGTTGGGGGGGGGTCACCACCACACGAGGAACTGTATTAGAGGTTCGCGCGTTATGAAGGTTGAGAACCACTGTCCTAGAGGGTGGCTGTAAATCGGGATCAAGCCAACAGCAGGGGATCTGGTTTGGACGTTTATCTCTCACCAGCCTTTGCCACCCAAGGTCACTTACCCTGGACAAAGCTTCGCCTTTAGTCTGTCCCTTCCACAGTGGGAAAAGAATACACAAGATGTTTCTGCATTTCAGGAAAATCCTCAGGAAATGGTAAACAATGACACCACCGTTAAATCCCATAGTCTCAAACAAGGACCCCTGTTGGCTCAGTGGTAAAGCACTCAGCCGACAACCCAACAGATCGGTAGCTCAAACAGACCAGCTGCACCGAGATTGGCCTGCAGTCGAGAAAAACCCATGGGCAGTTCTACTCTCTGAGGGTCATATGCATCAAAAGGGAAACATTCCCAGATAAAGATTGTGCACACGATGTACAGGCGCCTCTCAGAATGGGTTCGTGTGGGGCTGCTAACTGCAAAACAGGAAGCTCAAACCCACCAGTTATCCCAAGGGAGACAGAGGGGGCAGGCTGCCCTGTACAGATGTCCAACGTCGGAAATTCTCTACCGTCCTCGGGGGACCGAGCCAGCATGGACTCTACAAGCAGTGGGTCTGGTTTGAGCAGCACTGTCCCC